AACAGAAAAAACTAAAACGATTTGGAACCTCAATAAAAAAATACAAGGATATAAAACAAGACCAAATTATATGAACTAATAGTTTATTTTTCTCAAGATAAAATTGATAAGATATTATTAAAAAAAAACTATTGTTTAATTACTTACATATGTTAGTGTCAACAAGGGTGACAGTGTGACCCCCAAAAAGCCCGTTAAAGTATTTGTTCAAAATTAATTCTAGTCTTTTTACATGGAAAAGAAATAAAATTTAGTTCTTAACATTTATTTGTAATTCAAATAACTTAAAGTTAATCAATATTATTTTTATGTAGTACTTATTTGTAATTTTTTTTAGCCCTTTTATGTGATTTTTTAAGTTATTTTCTATAATTTTCTAGTTGGCTAATAAACAAAGTTAACTTTTATTAATGGTAGGGGCAATATTGCATTGTTTTTAAATATTGAAAAGGAACATTCTATTGAAAAAAAAGAGTTTAGGATCCCATATACTCATGAATATATAGTTTAAAAACAAAATTATCTTTTAACCCTATTCTTTTTCCCACAATCAACATTGCTATTACTTATTAGTATATTTTTTATTGGGGTTTAATTTTAAAAAAAATTATTTCATGATCCAACTTATGTACAAATTTTTTCATTCGGTTCTTACCAACCCTTTTAATCAACTAGTTACTTTGTTTAATATTAAATCAATGTTAAAATCAAATATTTAAAGTTAACACACCACACACACACACATATATATAATTTATAATGAATTACGTTCGGTCGTTGAAATTGCCACTCTTTTAACAATAAAGGGATATTCTAGCAGCCTATTTCAATTAAAGGAGCTAAATTTATGGGAGAATTGTACTGCATGCCTCCAAAACTAATATATTTGCATTAAAGACTTAATAGAATATGAAATAATTTTGTAGGTCCATAGGGCTCTCTTAAATTAAATTTTCAGTGAAAAGACAGAATTGGCCCATTGTTGCTGATGATATTAAGATAGATAATATGAACCACCCTCTACTACTTAGTCATCATGGGCTATGATCTTAGATTTAGTTCTATGGACATGGGTTAATTACCCTCTTATTCCTTTTTTCAGCATTTAGGCTTTTGCCTCTATTCATAATTTGAAAAAGCAAAAATATCTATGAAGGATTAGTTAAGGAAATTTATATAAGTTAAGGATTAGTTGTTGTCAAAATTTGAATAGAAAAAAGCTTGAATAACTATTATTAATTTAGAATAAGTTATTATTAAAACTTAAATTGATACTTGTTGATAAAAGACTAACCTAAATTGACAACTATCTATCCATTCTAATTTTGACAACAACTAATCATTGATTGATATAAATTTTCTTAAGTGGTCCTTGATTGATATTTTTTCTTAAAAAAACATTTATGTGTTATATCCAACAAGTAAAATACCCCGTTTGCTGTATGAAAATAAGAATGTAACTTGCAAATTATTTATGAACAAATTGAAAATTATAGGACGAGAGGAAAAAAATTATGGAAATTGGTGATTTGTTTGACAAGTTTTATCCACATTGTGTCCCTAAAATCAATGAACCTCACCTACAAATTCATATCTTAAGGGTTCCAAATTATCTTATATATAAGAGTAGCCTATTATTAAAAGTGATGATATGTTTGACAAGTTATATTCATACTTTTCCTTTTCAAATTAACCAATCTCACTTGAAATTCACTTTTTTCTTTTTTGTATAAACATTTGATATCCAAAGCTAACAATTTCAATTAATCTGAATTTGAGCATTATAGGTTGGCTCTAACGGATGGTGGCTTTTCTAAGTATAAACAACAACACAAAAACAAGCCTTTATCCCATTACGTGGCTTTTCTAAGTATATTTTTTTCATTTTCATCACCTCAAGGATTGAATTCACGAGCTAATGGTTAAGGAAACTCACATCATTTACCATCTAAGCCAACATGCATAAGTGAAATTCACATTTTGAGGATTGCAAATCAGGATATGAGAGCATAGCAAACTACTAGAATTTGGATATCTCTTGTGTGTCTACATATTGTCAGGTCGAGCATCTGTTATTTGGATATCTCTTTTGCAAGTCCACATTGTCAGCTAGTAGTTTATGTCAAATGTAACATTCCAATTTTTAATTCCCTGATTAACTAAGATTAATGAGGATAATTAAGTAGGTTGAAGTGATGTGTGGTTAGAGGAGAATAATAAGTATTTTTAGTTAGAATTTCAGGTATAATATAGGTTCAAAGTGAAATTAGGTCACTTAGGGACTAAAAAGTGGAGAAAAAAAAGGTTAAAAAGCCTCTGTGCTACATGTCGCGACATGTGCGTGGTGCACCGAGACACATAAGGCCATCTAGCAAGGGATGTCATCTCTAAACCATAAGCCGCGTTGCATGGTGATAGGTGCCGCAGCGCACGATGCAAATTCTGCAATTATTAGTCATAAAAATGAGACAAAAAAAGAGAGAAGAGAAAAGAGAAAATGAAGAGACACATTAAGCTCTGCTAAGGTTTACTTGTGGACGATATTAGGAGTATTTTGAAGGCTACAAATACCTAAGGTAAATACTACACTCATTAGTCTCCCCATTTCTTCCACATTTATGAGTTTATAGTTAAAGTTTAATAGTGGAAGTGGATGTTGGGTTCATATGGGTTTTGGGTTTAAATTTATTGAGTCAAATGGAGTTAATAGAAGTATATTAGAGTATCTAAACCTAGCATAATAAATTTTTAGTGTCTTGGGTTGTTGGGCACCATTAATATCCAAACATTTCATTTATTATGGGTGGTTGGAAGATTGTGATGCCATTAATAATAATTTAATGGTTTATTAATATTATTGGAGACTAAAGCCAATTAATAAACCTAAAGGATAGGCTCAAACTCTTGTAGAGTGAATATTGAGGAATTTAGAGAAGTGGAGATTGAGAGTTTAATGTTTGAGTTAGTAATGTTGATGAAAATCAACTTAGTTGATTGTAGTTTTGGCTCTTGGCCACTATTGGATTGAAAATTTAAGCTTGAAAGCTAGTAGATTGGGGAGAGTACACCTTTGATTTCTCAAAGGTTTGAGGTAATCGAGGGAAGCCTACTTTGGATAGTTATGTATTAATTGTAATGTGTTTTTTAAAATGCAAATTTTGTGTTAAAAATGCAAATTGTGTGTTTAAAATGCAATTTTGATTTATGAATGAGTGCATCATGCGATGAAAACTTTATATTTATCAAATCCCTTTGATGTGTGACAATCATGCTAAAGAGATTTCAAATGAGTTTTAAATTTACAAAAGTAATAATTGATATGAGTTGCATGTTT